AGATTTTAGGTCGGGGGTGAACCGAAAACAGGGTGTGATTTTGCATTCTCGGAAGGTTCATTTGGCTGGTGTTTGTGTTTTTGGAAGCGGCTTCTGATCATTTCCGACCGTTTCAGTTTCCAAGACTCAAGGACTAAGTCTTGCTTGTGACAGGAAGCACATACTGATGACAGGATCGGCTTGGGCCCTGGATCGCAACGAGCATTGTCCTCGTTCCTTGTGTTAACACTGTGTCTTCAACCACCCCAAAAGTGGAGCCATACTACTTGCAATTCTAGTTCATACGAGGCGGCAGGGCATGCAAGAGAAACATGCACTGCAATGTGTGAAGGTGGTGCCCTTCAACATGTTCAACATCCTTTGCCTGCCTCTCATCATCATTCGATCTTTCTGCCACAGTCAGTTTCAAAACGACGAGTGTGCAAGAGACTGTGGATGTTCCTCTTTTCGAGGTGTGCAACGTTGGCAAGGCCCATCCTCATCCCTGCAGCGCTAACCGTTTGGACAGCTTTTGCTTGGCCGTTCAGGGTTGCTACCGAGTGCTGCAAACCGAGGATTAGCAACTGCGTTGGAAAAAATGGTGTGTAAGGACCTTCAAGTAAGCTCGCAGACGAACACATGAAAGGCATCGCGTCTGAGACATTGAACTATGACAGGACTCGTCAAGAAGGGATTTGTCAAAAAAAAACAGACTCAATGAAGGCTCCTGCAATTACATAGACCGGCAAGTATTGGTGCCTTTGGTTCGCAAGCCTTTGTTCTAGTTGGTTATTGGTGCAGATGGGACATGAAAAGCACAAGTTGCAACTATGTTGAACATTGAAGTGAGTACATGATTATTTTGCAATGAAAAAGAACAGGCTGTATTCATGTCTGATAGCGAGATGGAACACTCAACATCAAGTGAGTTTGCTGAGATTCCACACAGACTCCTGCCGCAAGACTCGGCAAGTAGAGTATTGCCGTCCGCCAAAAGGGACAGTGAATCCGGCCAACAGGAAAACCCATATTTATTAAGCCAACCAGGTTCAGTGTTGAAGAGATGTCTTTTGGGGAGAGCCAGACAACAACCATCCCGCTGCAGGTCTCGTCCGCATTTTGGCCGGCTGACGGATGCCACACCAAGCATGTGAGCCAGCAATATCTTGCCCTCACGGCTGGAAGTCGGACGGGCAGGGCCCAGCATCTGCAGTGATGGACGGTTGGAATGGGACGGCGTTTTGATTTTCTTCAAATTCGGCCAGTATCATAGGATCTCGAAAGCTTATGCTTCATTTGTCGAACTGCAAGGGAGCCATCCTTCAAAACAGTATGTGGCTTCTCAAAGTCTTCCGTTATACGGTCGCCGTCATCCTCCATGTGTAAGAAAACCCTCTGCCAGTTTCCAACACTTGTGTTGGCTTTCAAGCTCTTTGAGTGTGCTTGGCTGTTTCTGCCGACCCATAGAACCCGGAACATCACCAGGACCATTTGTTAAACCTATGAACAGTATCCCAGAGACTCAAAATTTAATCTTGCGCCACTGAAGATTAGGCTTTTGGCACTGGCCGAGTATTGTTTGTGTAATCAAAGCCTTTGCTGAAGAATTCGATCAAGTTTGAAACAATGCATCGCTCAGCATTCTACAAGATTCGACATGTTGCCAGTGGAGAAGCGGACCCGGAGCACAAGTCGAAGCACGTGAAAGCAATCTTTGACAAACAAGCACGACACCGATGATTTGGGCAAAGGCGAAACCATCACCACATAACAAGGAATGCTCAAGGTAAGCCATGCCGTCTCAAAACACTGATGGCTGAACATCTCCTGGAACCCAAAAACTCCAGAAGCAAACAGTTGAGGGCCAGATTAGGGTCAGAAGTGGACATTTGGAATTTGACCGTTTTCTATGTTTATCAATGTCGGTCAGTATCGTTCAGTCCCAAGAGCGTACGGTGCATGGTTAAGGACCAGTGGGTTTGTGCCTTTTCGCAAGGGTGTGATGACTGAAACTGCAGCGTTCACCTGCTCAAGGCTCACTTTTGTATGCACAACATCCTTGTGGAAACAACCTCCTGGTCCGTTCCTGCAGTTGGTCATCGATTTTCAGCCATTTGCCTCTGTTGCTTCATCGATTTTCCGAGATGGCCGACTTACAAAAGTGGCTGCTTGTGAAACGAACATTTCAAGCCGGCCGTTCTTTTTGATAGATTGATTGACGGTGTGAACATGGCCAAGAGCTGCCTATTTCTGTCCGCGTTCTAGGTGTGCGATTGCTGCAGGGCTTAGAGTCTTCGCTCCAAAGGTGAAGCAACTTGACTTACCTTTGTTGACAAAAGCCTAAAAGGACGTGCTAGTTGCTCATAGTTTCCGAGATATAGGTTCTGGTATTTGCGACACCAATCTTTTTGGCTGAGCCCTGGCATGATTGAAAGTGTAAGCAGATGTTGTCGTTGCAACGGAATCCTGCAGAGCCATGTCCGCTTTTCCTGCTGCAGTGTTTGTTTTTTCGCCGACTCCGTTTGCATTGCCAGTTTCTTGCAGTTGCCACCTGATGACGAGCTTCACGTGCGGCCTCTGTTCACGGTTGACCGTGGACACTAAGCTGATATTCCAGTTTTCGCCAGCTTGGATGAGGATGTGCCCCCTGCCAGCTGGTACGGCTGAGTGGAAATCCTGCTTGCTGCAGAGCGCTTACGGTGGCAGCGGGGAGGAGATTCCTTTGCTTGTCTAAGGAATGACTCCACTATCAAAATACTCATCGAAGATCATGGAAGCATCATTCTGATAGGTCAGAAGCAGTGATCACTTGCTTCCGAAGCAGAAGTGCAAATTGGAGTTGTCAGCCTGATCCTATGTCGCTCATTGCATCACCCAGATTGGCTTGGAAGTTCTACTCATGGTGGGGCTGTTCGCAGACGCCAAAAACCTTTGGGTGACTTGGCCAATAGGGTGTTTTTCAGCGTTTTGCACCGAACAACCACACCCTTCGGTTGGCCGGCTGAACGGTGACATGGGGGCGAGGGCGACGTCATCGCTGCACGAGTTCGATCGAGAGGTCAACACGTTGGCACGACGCGTGAGGCACGACACACCTCTCATCACGGGCGCCGGTCACCGGTGATCGCCGGACTGGTCGCCGACATCGCTGAGCTGAAAGGGTCGGCCTGGTGGCAAGGTGTGGTTGCAAATGGGACATAATGTGACCAAGAGCAGCTGCTCAGAGGTTTCGTTTGAGTTCTCCACAAAGCAATCAACAGAGAAAACCCCAGAGTTGCGCAAGAACCAGCAATACCATGCAGAGAACAGCTTTTCAGATCTTTTCAGTTCTTTGCAACAAAGAAAGCAACAGAGATGCAGCCATTATGGATTGCTTGACCTGGTCATGAGGAAGGAAAAAGTGCCTCCGCGTTGTTGCACTTGATTACACAACCAGCTTGATCTCGTGGCATCAGGTCACAACAGATGGCCTCGAGGTGTTTTAGCTTCCTGCGTGGCTGTGGGGTGTGATACTGTGGGTTGTGTGTGTGTGATTTGCATGCTTCCTTTAAGCCCTCGTGCCAACTAACAGCGTGCGGCTTCACGCCATGTCAAAGGAAGCCGATATGGGTTTTCCTCATGAAAGGTTTAGTTCATACGGAAGTGGCTGTTTCAGATCAAACACCGTTCTTTTCAATCAGTTTGGGCAGTCAATGTCTTGAGTCGTGAAACACCAAAACAGCGTCGAAGGGAGGTCCAGGAGCAACGAGCATGAGGCCCTTGTGAAACGCAAGCAGGGATATATAAATATATATAGTCAACACCGGCTTCATCCTTTACAATGTAGCACTGAATCTACTTGCGCAGTGGTGTGAGAAGCCGAAAGCTTTTTGTTCAGACCCCAACTCACCGGACCTCACGACAGCCCATAGCACAGGGTTGTTGCAATATGTTGCAATAGCAGGCAATAGCTATGCAGACTACCCCACCCTGAAAAAAAACATAAATGATGTGTCAAAACCCTACAGGATGCAAACCCATTATAGTTCTGGGCAGAAACAGACCTGACATGACCTGACTGTTAGCATGGCTCTTGAACGCCCAGCAGAACCTCCCAAAACGACCAGCTCCATCAACCGGCTCCAGCTTCTTGGGGCACTGCTCGCGGCGCCCTGCATCGAGAGGATTTTTGAGAAAACCAAGGATCAAACTTCAAACATCGTATGATCACAAAGAAACTTTTGGCAGTCTAGGAGCCCCAGGTACAACATCTTTGCGATAGGTTTTTGGTTGAGAAGAACAGTCACATACTGGTCCAACCAACCACAACAAACCATATTTTTATCCCAGACAGTTCTAAAGCGCTGAACTCACCCGCCGCGGCCGCTCCATTCTTGCATGTTGCAGCAAGATGCCTACGTGTCTTGCCGAAACACCTGAGCGTTCCATTCCATGTGCAACACGGATATGATTTGCAGTCCAGGAGGTGTCCTGCAGCAGACACGAGTGCACATGCGCTGAGGCAGTTCTCGGTATTCATCGAAATTCCAGCGAGGAGGAGATTAAGCAAGCATACAGAGCAAAAGCCCTCAAGCAGCTCGGCACGCCAAGCAGGTGATTGAACATATCGGAGACTCTCAACAAACAAACTTGGCAGCTTGGCAGTGCCACGCAAACAAGGGCCGCAGGAAAGAACAATTGAACAGGTTTTGCTATGTGTCCGCTGTTGGCTGGGTTGCTGAAGTTCTTTCGGGATAACTATGCCACCTGAGGCACCATCCAGACAAGGCGGGCAAAGCACTACTACACAGTAATTGAAGACCTGTGTCACTGTGTCCTTCAAGAAGAGGTGCTGGATGAAGAGGAGCGGCGTGAAGCCACAGCGCAGTTCCAGGCGGGTGCTGCATGGGGGAAGATGGTAGAGATGGTAGAGTCATAGAGACTGCTTGCGGCAACAACGGCTTGGGCGTGGATGTTCCGATCCACACGAGCTGGTCGCACATCAAGATGATGCATGTGGGAATAGTCAGAGGCCCCCCCCCATGTCTTCCATGTTCAACTGTGTTCAATCCGCTGCCCAACGGCATGATGTGGATATGGCGGCACGTGAACGGAGGAGATCCAAGCAGCCTTTGAACAGCTCTCCAAAGGCCGCAGGTGAGATCTCGGGAAATCAGACTTTTGCGGAAGCCGATCAAGAGAACTGCTGGGCGATGAGTATCTTTGGGTCTGTGGCCCTGATCATGCAAGAACTCTGTTCAGACAAGGGCCAGTCTTTTCTGATGCTTTTCGACCCACCAATGCTGCACAGTGAATTTGGAAAATCGGTCAGGTTGGATTTGGCCACGACCTCAGCTGCTTCACCAGCGACCGACGTCGGTTTGGCTCAGCCGTCCTGGCTCAGGTGATTGGGCCCATGACTCGCACTGAGCTCATCAGCGCCTGTGAAGGCCACAACTTGAAGTTCGGGGACATATATGTATGATGGATGTGGCTAGGTGGTGGTACCGTTCTCAGGAAGCGAGAGTGCATTGAGAATGTGTTGAATCTGGCCGTCATCCACCACCTCCACCATGCCCACCGTCCAGCTGCCCTGCCCTCCACGCCCTGCCCTCCACGGGCAGGTGGCGACCTCAGCACCGTGCAGCAGCTCTTGCGGGAGTCGGCGGAGATCAACGCCACGGACAGCACCGGTCGCAGCCCACTCATGTTCGCAGCTCAAGCGGGTCACGTTGAGGCGCCCCCGGACAGACCGGAGGAGCGTTTTGCTTCGAGACGAAGTCGTGGAGATCGGCCAACGGAGTCATGACTGGTCCGGGACTGGTGCCTAAGCTGTTTGACGCCTTTGAGTCCATGTTGCCGCAATCCATGTTGGTTCTTCAGAGTCCGAAAACACATTCGCCCTAAGGGTCGGACAGTCGCAACTTGCCATAATCCAACATCAAAGTGGATCAGCCACATCCAACGGAGAGGGCCACACACACACACGTCCATCCTTTGCCACTGAAGTGGGAATGTCTCCGAAGAGTCACACGCAGCTTTTTACGCAGGCGATCCACCTGTTTGACGTGTCCATGAAGTCCACTAAGCTTTAAGCCTTGCAATCAATTTGTTCAAGAAGACTCTGAATGGTGACAGAGTTGAATCAGGGAAGAGATTCCGACAAACCGACAGAGACCATCCCTGAAGATCAAGATGGTCAACATCCATTAGAGTTCCACTCCTGCACCTGAGAGGTGATGGAACTCTTGCTGCAGCGCCAAGCTGACCTGAACCTGCGGAACTGCGCAGGCCACACCTGCGCGCCTTGGCTTCGCGCGAGTCCTGGACCAATCTTGGACCGTCCTCCACGAAAGGAATCTTCGAAATCTGCGGACTGAAACTGTGGTGGAAAGGGACAATAGTACTTGTGGGCATGGAAACGTTTGCGTTGGTAATAGACAGACTCTGGCTGAGCTACATGGTTCTGGGTTGAACCTGTGGCTTTCTTTCTGAGGTGATGTTTGCCGTTGGTGGTGGCATCAAGGTCCGGGAATGTCTGAGACTTTGAACATCTTTGAATAATACGACATACGGATACGTATATAACTGAAGTTGTTTCGCAGTTTCGCAAGGATGTGAACGCTTTAAAACGGGCCAACATTTCTTGGCTACAGCCACCCTCTTGCAGGTCAATAATCAGCATGAGCGTGCCCAACAGTATCTCCGAGCAGTGCAGCTTCTCCTGGATGAAGGCAGCGACGGGCTTGTGGAGGATGTTTTGAGGCCAGGTACCTGGCGCACTCGGTAGCAACAAGAGCCTTCAAACGAGAGCCAACTGCGCTCCACGAGCTCCAGCAGTCCTTGAAACGAGACCCGAATTGCCACTGTGGTGCCGCACCCGTTGAAACGCGGGTGCCGCATGGTGTCGCACGTGTCCAGTCTTGCAAGGTGCGCCGGTGAATGGGGTCACCTCCTACGGCCTTTCTGCCTTGATGCTGGCAAGTACCTCAGGTGCGGACAGAGATCCTCGAACCGAGGTCACAGTCTTGCTTTGATGAGTGCCAAGATGTGCCAAGCATATAGTCCCATGGACCACGGCAATTTTGCTATAATTAGGACATATTGGGTTTGTCCTATTGCCTGTAACAATCGGTAGACAATTTCATTATCACTATTTTAGAGAAAGGCCTTTACTAATCATTTGGTAATGGGATATAAGATATACTATACAATGATATACCCAAAGAAATAAGTAAAACATCAATATACACAAATATATATATATATATATCAGTATTATTACATCATGTTGATAATGTGTATGTATGTATGTATGTATGTATGTATGTATGTATGTATGTATGTATGTATGTTTGTATGTATGTATGTATGTATGTATGTATGTATGTATGTATGTATGTATGTATGTATGTATGTATGTATGTATGTATGTATGTATGTATGTATGTATGTATGTATGTATGTATGTATGTATGTATGTATGTATGTATGTATGTATGTATTTTTTTTTTCCTAGAGGTGCTGCTCTGGCCGTTTGGCCGGTGCGTGGCTGGCATGTTGCCTCACTGGCTGCCGCGGTCGCTTCTCAGTGGAGGTCGGTTCTCAAAAAGTGCCACAGGTACTTCTAAAAGAAGTCGACATGCATTTCCGCAGCTTCGTCTAGGCTCTCTTCTTCGGCTGTTTCTGGGCTTGTTGGTGCCTCTGCCGTGGCCGAAGGTTGTGCTGCCGTTGCCGATGGCGGAGCTTTAGCATGCTGGCCACTGGCTGCATTGTGTGAGGTGTTGGGGCTTGCCTGGCGATGTGCCTGGCTCTGTGCCGGTTCTGACCCATCTTCCCTCTGCGTAAGAGGTGTATGGAAATGCAGCCGTTTTGGTCTGGGGCCACTGGCGGGTTGTGGCGTGTCCGGAGTGTGGTGGAGGTTCGTGTGTCCTGCCTCTGTCTGCGTGGCCGGCGTGGCCTTGAAGAAGGTATGGATCGGTGGTGATCCCTGTGTTCCTGCTCCTCGACATTCCCTGAGGAAGTTTGTCGAGTTGATGATGCGGCGATTGCTGTCAAGGTGGAGCTGCAAACCACAGCTGGTGCAGCTGATCTTTTGCCCTTTTTGCCACAGTTTGTGGCTTGGGTGTCCTGTGTGGTCTCCCTCAAAGGGGCAATCCAGGCATGGCCCTTGGATGTAGTCCTTGAAGGCCTGTTCATTGACCCGTTTGTGGACATTGGTGCCACACTTGGTACACTTGAGGTAGCCCGTGGTTTCTTCAAAGTGGTGCTGTTCTGGTGCCGGTGGTCTGGTGAGTTGCTCTTGGATGAGGTTCCTGATGACCTGCGCTCGTGTGAGCTTTTTGGCGGGCTTGGTGGCATCTTGTCCTGGCGCTGGGCATGCCTGCTCGGCAAGCTGCTGGGTGCATGCTTCTCCCAGTCGATCTTCAAGCTGCTGTGCTGTGAGCCCTTGGTGCATGCTTGTTCCGCAGGTGGTGCAGGCGAAACCGCTCCTCTGTGGGGCCCACCTGTGGTGATTGTCCTGCCAGGGCTTCGTGCACTGCTGGATGAGGTCTTTCTTCCTCTGTTTTGTTTGCTTGCCTGGTTGCCGATCAGCTTTGGTGTGCAGGTAGTGTTGTTTATCCTGGAAGATCTTTTCAAGCCGTTGTGCAGCCTGGAGGTAGATGGCTTTATGGTCTTGGTCCAGGGTTTGTTGCCATCTGGTTTGTCGCCGGTCATGGAGCGCATCTGCCCTCTCCCAGGCAGCTAATGCAGCATCTCGTTGCCTTCGGCGGAGCTGAGGTTCATTTCCGGGAGCGTCTGGTGTTCTGGTGTTTTTGTGGATGTACAGGACGGTGATGCGCTTTCTGTCCTGTTCTGTGACCTCAGCCAGGAGGTCTGGGTAGGGATGCTTGTGTGGTGGCTTTTGCCAAGCTTCCCAGACGGTGCTCAGTTGCACGATCACCTTTGCTGGGGTTGTGGTGTGTTTTGCAAGGGCCACCAGCCCAGCGAAAAGTGCGCGGCCCTTACTTTGGTGGCCACTGGCAGCTCCTGTGATGGCCCCAAGGCGTTTCAATTGGCCCATCGTTTGCGTGTGGAGGCACAGGCCGAAGACCCAGAGCTGGCTTCTGGTGTCGTAGTTGCTTGGTGTTGCATCCAGGGTGAATGCAAAGCCTGCATATGGGTCCGGGCTAATGGGTAGCAACTCCTTCCACACTCCGTGGCCATGGTACGGGTGTTGTTGATGTAGATGCTCTTGTGGTTCGAGTGGTATCCAGCCTTTTGACCACAGGGCTTCTTCTTCAGGATTTGTGATGCGGTCGAGCCATTCTGCTGGTAGCGGCTGGTGTGACTGAGTTCTGTGCCACTTGCACAACCAGAGCATATGCTTCGCTGTGGCCGGGACGTGGCAGATGGGACAGGGTTTTGGTCCCTGTGCATCGCGGTAGTGGAGAGCTCCTTGCACCCAGGTTTGCAGGTGTCTAGACTGCTGTTCTGGCAGCTTGGGCTTGAGGGTGCGGTACGTGTGCCAGTCCAAACCTGTGAGCAGGTGTTGGTGATGCGGCCTGCTGGCAAATCTGTGGGTGCGCTGCTGGTGGGCCTCAGTGGTCAGGCGATGTTCAATCTGCCACCATTGGTCTGTGATGTTCACTTCAGCTGCAAGCATGAGGTCGTTTGCAGGCCTGGACCAGTGAAACAGGTCCTGAACATTCCATCCCCACTCAAGGAGGTAAGCGATCGTGGCGGCCATTGGACCTTTGACCGTGTACCACGGATGCTGTTTGGCCTGGAGGTTGTCGAGCGTAGTTGTCCATGCTTGCTGCAGTTGGGTTAGCTGCTCTGCCGGCCAAGCTTGGATGAGCTGGTGCATTGCTCGGATGTGGTGGATGATGATCTGGTCTGCTGGGTCCATGTATCTGGTCTTGTGGATGTCATATGTGACGTCGAGGATGCCGCCAGTGTGGTGGCCCAGCTGTTTGGCTAGTGCATGCCTGAGCGCTTGTCTGTACCGGGGTGCTAGACCTTGGCTTTCGACTCCCCAGACTGCGACGGGTTGGATGCCTCCCCGGTGTAGCCTGAGTCTCACCCGAAGTGCTGGTATTTTCAAGTTCCTCAGCTTGAGCTTGCGCTGGTGGGCTTTTTGCAGCCTTTGTTTCATGACGGGGATGCGTCTGGCGCGTCCGGCCTGATGGTCGATGCCCAAGTCTCTCATCACTGGTACCACGGGTGGCTCTTCTTCTGTGAGGAGATCCTTGAGGGCCTTGTTGACCTGCTTGTCAGTGCCTATGAAGGCCGTCTTTTTTGCACTCACTTTCATGCCAAGTTGGGTGAGGCGGTTGTGGAGGTCCCTGTAGGCTTCTACGGCCTGCTTGGCCACAGTGTGTGGTGTTGTGCCTGCGGTGTCATAGCCGATATCATCCACCCAGCTGGATAGGTGGATGTGGGGATGCTGTTCATGCCAAGGTTGAAGGGCTGGTGTGAGAACAGCTTTGGCCAGGAGTGGCGCTTGTGGGCATCCTGCTGGAACTCCTTGATCCACGTGGAAGAAAGGTGTCATTTCTTGCTCTGCCACTATGGCTTTCGGGCCAGTGTACAGCTGCATAGCCATCTCGAGCATGAGGGGCGGGTAGTTGATGGCAGTGGCCTGGTCTTGCAGTTGTTGTAGCCGGATGGTGTCGTAGAAGGTTGACAAGTCCATGAGGACTGTCACCCCGTGGCGCTTGTTTGTTCTGTGAACCTCTTGTCTCAGGAGTCGCTCCAGAGCGACCTGCAGCACCTGAGCGCCAGGTCTGGCTCGGTCGTGGTTCATGAAGTCAGGGAGGGCAGCTTGCCAGGCATCCAGGATGGGCTTGCGGAGACGGCACCATAAACGGTACAAGGTGGATGTCAATGTGATTGGGCGTTCGATGGTCTGGTTCTTGGCCAGCATGACGACCATGTGCATCTGCATTTGGGTGGGCATCTGTGCACTCCGCTCCATGTCCTGGATGAGCTTGAGCAAGGGATGCAATGCTAGTGGCGGTGCTGATCGTAGGAGTTGGGCGGAAACCGCATCTGGTCCACTAGCTTTGTGAGGAAGGGCCTGGATAGTTCTGCTGAAGTACCCCATGGTAATGGGTGGAAGTGCCAATGCCTGACGCTGTGCCTGTTCTCGTAAGCTGGTCCTGGGTGCTGGGTTGTTGTCATCTCGGATGTGCCAAAGTGCTCCCCAGTCTGCAAGGCGTTGGTTCATGCGCTTGTCTGGTTCGATATTTCTGTACGGCCTTTTCCAGGGCACTTCACTACTTTTTAGGCTGCGGAAGAGCCCCTTGAGGCCCTTGGCATGCCCTTGGGTGAGCCAGGTCTTGTACTGGAGATGCAACTCATCATTGGCTGCCTGTTGTGCTTCGTGTTGCTGATGCTTCATGGTATGCTGAATTAATTCAGCTGCATGTGGGTCTTCGTAGGTGTGCCAATGGTGGCAAGTGTCGAGGAATTGGCTCCACGTGGGCGGTCCCAACCATTTGGTCTGGATGTCTTGGATGGCTTTCATGAAGCCTTTGGTGGGCCCGCCAGCCTGTGTGGGTGGCTGCTGTTGAGCGAGACGGAATCTGGCCTGCAATTGCTCCCAGAAGGCGGTCTTGCCTTTTTTCCAGGTGCCTCCGGACTTGGGCGTGGCTAAGGGCTTGATGCTCACATGAAGGTTGGCCCCCCTGCCTCTGGCTGCCCATGGGTGCTCTTGTAGGAGATATTGTTCCGTGGCTGAGATCCAGTCTGCCCAGGCTTGCGCTTTGTCGTTGACAGGGATGTCATAGAGGCAGATTTCAAAGGCCTCCGATTGGAAGGTGGTCCATGGTCTGAAGTCGATGTCAGGCACTGGTGGCAAAGGTGGGTAGTACTGGATCTGTCGGAATTCTTTTGTGGCCGCATCAATGTCCAGGTGCAACGTTAGTAGTGCATGTGGACGCCACGGCACCGCCCATTCTGTGGTGAGGGCAGTGGTGCTGGAGAGGGATGTGTGGACCAGGCTGTAA